GGTCCATAATGGCCTTCAGATTTCAGTTCTTGAAGTGTTTCCTTGGTAGCAGCAGCAGAATAGGGGTGGGTGTTCTCATGCTGTAGAAGAACACCCTGGAACAATCTTCCACTTAATTTTCTCTGTGACTTTTATCCCCTTTCACCCCCTCCAACTATAAACAACAATCCACAGGCCTTTGATCTGTCTTGGTGCAAACTGATAGAAATGCAGCCATGTCACAGTCTGAATGCAACTGACGCATTGAGTCCGAAGTATTTTCAAGACATGTCACTTAATGGGTTTCAATGCTGCCAGCTGTTGGCAGTCTAGTTACTCCTGTGGCAGGTTGAAACATGTAGGATTTTAAGTTTTCATGGCAGTGAGTCTGAAGATGGCTGTGTTCTGGGTTTACGCACCTTGTAGTCTGGTAGAAGTTTACTGACGTTACCCATCACCCTAATGATGGAGGCAGCAAGGACCTCTGAAACGTCGGTAAACCTATACCAGACTATATGGTGCAACAACCCAGAAGACAGCCATCTTCAGGTTGAAAGATAATTATGGATGTTTTCTGAATTGGCTTTTTAGTTTTTCCAGGAGGTATTGCCCTGTGTATCACCATTGATTCCATAAAATAAGAAGCATTTTTTATTACTATTTTTAAGAATTGCCATCTAATTTTGTGGTAAAAGTACAGAATAATATTGTATAAAAATTCTGAGTATTTTGAGAATAATGCAAGCCTCCGTGAATAACAAGAGCATTTATTTCCATATGCTTTATTTATGCTCAGTGTGTCCCTCTACATTTCTGTGTAATGTTTAAGAATGCTTTATGTGTTTTATATGTGTGCATGCATGTGTGCGCAGATAGAACCAGGTTGAATCCTGTGCTTGTTATCTCTAATTGGCTGGGTTCTCATCACCTTTCTTATTCTAAAATGTGTCCATATTGAAAGAAGATTTCTTGTTTGAGTAAAAATGGAAACAGAACTTACATAATTTAATATATTTTTTTGCAGGGTTTGCATGGGTCACACTTGCCACAAATGATTCATATTCTCTTGGTGCTTTGGTCCTGGGACATTCATTAAGACGAGCCGGCTCACCACATGACTTGGTTGTACTAGTCACTCCTGGTGTATCAGCTGCTATGAGGTATGTATGCACTAGAATTTTTGTATTTGTGATTGAAATAATTCTCTAAGTACGGTGTGATATTGTGGGATTCAGATTTTTAGACATAATTAAAAAAATAATAATTGAACGTTCTGTTTCGATGAGCAAATAAATTTCACATGCATTGCTACTATGAATGTAGTTTACTTATATGTGACATAGACCTGGGAGTTTTGCTGTATTTAGATGGATGCTTATGGGTTGTCTCTGTCCTATGAATAAATAAGTAACAAACTTACAGTAGTCAGATTTTGTTATAGGCTACATGCTAGTGACGCATGTGACACGAAGCAGTCATGGGTTTGCTGTTCAATGAAGGAATGTGATTTTCTAAATATGTAATCAGTCATGTGATGTCTAATAAAGAATGAAAAGAAATGACAAGTGGATATTTTTCCAATATTAAATATTTGCCTTTCGGAGGATGCATAAAACACCAAAGTAAACAAATAATGTCTACTCTGTAGGATTTTATAGTCTTTCACTGCAGAATGAGTTTAGGTAGTTTCCTTTTTCTATAGTCTTCTGGTTTTATACTGATATCTCAGAGAAACGTACTTATTCTGTCTTTGGTATGGTCCTCCAAAACATTAGTATAGAACCGGAAGACGTACTACAAAAACCTAGGAGACAACTATTTAGTTTGTACAATTTTCTTTTGGAATATGATAATAATTTTTCTCCTTATCACTGCCATTTTGAATATGTTTCCCTTCAGATAAATTTTTGTAAATATTGAAGCCTTTTTACATAATTTATATCTTAACTGCGTCATGTTTGTGTTTAATCAATATAATAATTTATTCACCGTCCATACACAAACTTAAAATATTGTTAAAATTTACTTAAAATTACATAAAATTACAACATTTTTTAGAATTAGATCTTGATACATTTCACATTTGACGACATGTTTCGGTGTATTACACCATCATCAGGTCAATCAATTTAAAAACTGTTTTAAAAACAGTTTTTAAAACAGTTTTTAAATTGATTGACCTGATGATGGTGTAATACACCGAAACATGTCGTCAAATGTGAAATGTATCAAGATCTAATTCTAAAAAATGTTGTAATTTTATGTAATTTTAAGTAAATTTTAACAACATTTTAAGTTTGTGTATGGACGGTGAATAAATTATTATACTTTTTACATAAGTTGGTACTTGATGTGGATGGTAATATTTTCATATTTCTTGCTCAAAGGAACCAGCTGTCATCAATCTTCACTCTCGTTCAAGAAGTGAATGTTCTTGATTCACATGATGAAGCAAATCTTGCCCTACTGGAGCGTCCTGAACTTGGAATAACGTTTACGAAACTTCACTGTTGGCGCCTGACACAGTATGATAAATGTGTCTTCCTTGATGCTGACACTCTGGTAAGTATAGATGTTGATCTCCTGGGTTGTTGCTGTGTGTGTGGGTAATTTTGGCCATGTACCAGTATTCTGAAAGAATATAGTGCCACCATCTTTAGGGATAAAAAGAGAAGTGTTACGGAGCCAATGTAAGAAAATGTTTGGTTCTTCACTTCAATTCAGACACACTGATGTAAATGGCGATGATAATAATAAATATTATCTGTTTTATTGCTTTCATTAAAGAAGTAGTGAGATTTGTTACTCTTATGTTTCATTGCAGGTGCTGAAGAATTCTGATGAATTGTTTGAGCGAGACGAATTGTCAGCTGCTCCTGATCCTGGTTGGCCAGACTGTTTCAACTCGGGTGTATTTGTTTATCGACCGTCATTAGACACTTTCAATGACCTTATTAAATTTGCCCTTTCTAAAGGAAGTTTTGATGGTAAGAAAAGTAAAGAATTATAAAACTAGTCAAAAGTATGCATCTAAGTTAAGCCTTTCAGTACTTGTGCACAGAATGTTTGTATTTGTTTGTTTGTTTGTTTGTTTGCAGGTTTATTTAACAGTGCTTTATGCACCGTAGATTGTGTAGAGCAAGGGATGGTAATGAAATTCTGCGAAGATAGTAATACATTATACAGATTTACAATAAAAATGTGATTTGATTTAATCCAGCTTAGTACTTCCTTCATTATCGACATTGCTGATTTGAAAATAAATATTTGATAGGTAAATTCCATGCTGCGTAACACTGGAACTTGAGTGTTATAAAATAACTGAATATAATTGATGACATTGACTTAAAATATAACAAGTTCTAAGTCGCTGAAGAAGATTACTCTGTATTTGTAACAGTACATGTATTCTATCATTCCTTGCAGATGTATTTTGCAGTGGTTTTATCACCTTGCAGGAAAAAGTCAATGTATTCCATACAACATTGATTTGTACTCGTTACTTATACATGTCATACTGGAGAGAAATTCTGTGGCTTAGTAGTACATTATGGGGCTTCCTGCAGTTGACTGTGTAAAGGTTTTGAGGGACTGTAATGATGATGTAATGCACAAGATCAAAATGAAATATCATGTTAGTAAGTTATTTTTAGCAGTCATATTTTTGGTTCATCCTGCACCTCATTTTTGTTGTATTTTTGGTGTATAAAGATGACTGTAAGTTATGGACATAAAAGGATCCATAAGGAAGAAAGTACTGTAAATTTATACTGTCACATTACTTGCCTCAAGTGATTGAGGGAATCTGTGAAAATTTATGGTTTCAAATTGCTGAATTGGCCAGTAAAATGTAAGATAACATGAAGGTAACAATTTTCATGCTCTTATGGTAAAATATGTTCAGTATATTCAAGTTCATGTAAATGTTGTTTGTCCATCATTTTTAATAAATGGAGCTTATTCATAATTTCACTGACTGTTAACATTTTGTATTTCTGCAGGTGGTGATCAGGGCCTTTTGAATCTATTTTTCTCTGATTGGGCAACAAAGGATATAAGCCGACACTTACCATTTATTTACAATATGGTTTCTACAGCTACATACTCATACCTTCCAGCTTATAAACAGTAAGTATTATTAGAATACTGTAAATCTAGAAGAGGTATTGAATGTCTAAACACTTTTACTCCTGGTCTGCTTCAGGGCTTAAAATAGAGGCACTAAGTTCCTCCAAACCATTGATATCTACCTGCAGGACCAATATTGACCTTACAGTTGCTGTGAGAACTTCATATCTCATGCAGCAACTTTAGTCTGTTTCAAAAGTTCCTTTTGCTTTGTTCCTCTTCAGTGAGCTGAGATATATTTTAATTGTTTTTACTCCTGATACATCAGCTTTTGTTGTCAACCACTAACGTCTAAGAGGAAATAAATGAAGTACAACCTTCAAAATTTGGTATGGTATAAATTACCTCTAGCTGCCTCAAGAGACAGAGAAGCAGGAAATTGTCTGCCTGCCATATGTAAGATAATACAACTGAAATTTCTTCATCCATCTATTTAGAAATTTTGAAAACAGAGGGCTCCCAGATAAGAATGATACTAAATTGATGCAGTAAAATGTATGGAGATTTCTGGGCAGATGTATAAAAGGCTTACTGAAGACCTTTACCTGTATTGATCTCGGACAGCCACAGTGTAGGTTAACATGTTCTTTGAGTGCTGTCACTGACTGGGATATGTTTGTGTCTGTGGCCTGTCTGATATTAATTAACAAAAGACTGTGTTGCAGTATATAGTTTTATAATGCAGGGCACTAACATATGGTAAATATCACAAGTTAAGTACACAGCCAGTACATGCCTTTCTGATATTATTGCCAACCTGCGAATATTAAAACGGATCTTAGGAAACTAGGATTTGAGGGAATGGATTGGATTCATTTGGCTTAGTGTAGGAACTGGTGATGGGCTTTGTGGATATGGTAATGAACCTTTGGGTTCCATAAAAGACAAAACAGTTCTTGACTTGCTAAGTTTACACTTCTCAAGAAGGACTCTGTTCCATGGAAGTATTTAGATAGATAGTGTGTGTGCATTATTTGAATTGTCAGACTGTAATATTGAAGTGGAAGTCATTTCTGCAAATGCTACTTAAGTCTGATAACGGAACCTCTCTCTTGAGCTCTTGTACCAATAGTGAATGTGATAATGTTAATATATTTATTTCTAGATTTGGCGAAGGTGCAAAAATTGTACATTTCATTGGGTCAAACAAACCATGGCTTCAGTACTTTGATTCTGAGACTCGGTTAGTGAGACCACCTCAGGGTTCTGAGCATCTACAGAACTTGCTTCAGCTGTGGTGGGACATTTTCTGTTCCACTGTACATCCAAGCCTGTCGCCAGATATGGTAAGCTGTCACATCCAGCATAGTCAAAAACACTTTTTCAGAAGAGGTATTTGTGAACTGTATGTATAATGTTTATAGAATTTAAGTAAGATTAGATCAAAATCATGTATGGATTTATTATACTTTTGTCAGTGTGCCAATCTTGTTTGTATGTCTGTTTTATGGAGTACCAGTTATTTTAATTATTTTTAAGTACAGTACTAAAACATTTACAAATTGGGAAAATTGTCAGTGTAAGAAGAGGGAGTTGAATCACTACTCAGTGTACATTTATTTTCAAGCACTTACGCAAATTATATTCTGTTGTCAATTAAAATTTGTATTTTCTTGAAATTAGTATGTAACTAATTTTAAATTAGTTAATAATGTTTTAGCTCCTATGAAATATTCATATACCACGGCACATAAATTTAATTAATGACGCCATGTGTTTTGTAGTATTTCGCGTGAAAATAATTTAATTTTTTGACGTAAATACGTCTATATTAAAGGGTCATTCGGCAAAAAAAGGAAACGAAAAATGGAAAAAGTGTAACCTGGTTACCTAGGAAACGTCGTGTTTACTCAGCATTGTTGTTACATAGGAAACGTTACATTACACTACTCGGCATTGTTGTTACCTAGGAAACGTCATCTGTTTACTCGGCATCATTGGTACCTAGAAAACGTCATCCGTTTACTCGGCATTGTTGTTACCTATAAAACATTCCATTACATTACCTTACCTTACTTTACATTACATTACATTTCATTACATTACATTACTTTACATTACATTCAGCTACCACAGAACCATCTTAAGCGTAACTAATTCAAGTTAAATAAGCAAAGTCTTAATCAAACTTTACTCAAATGTAAAGCATGTATAAAGGAAATATTTAGAATAAAGCCAATATATAACCTTCCTTTCCGTATAGACGTATTTACGCCTAATATTCCGGAACCGTGGTTCCACTGTCATTTTTTAAATTTGGTTCAGCTTCCTCAGATTCATTGCCTCATCTCTGTGCATAATCTTAATTTATTTCTTCTCTAAATAACGGCTGCTATCGGAGAATTTCAAGAAGAGGTAAGAATGCATTTCAATACTAGTTATTAAATATTAACTGAAAAATAAACTTCGTTTCCTTTTGAAATGAAGTACGGGGAGAATTTCGTGTCATCTGGAGTAGAACAATTTCTGAATATCAAGTTCTTAATTTCCATTAATTAATTTGGCTGTTAGTAGTCCAGCAGTTGTTTCAAGGCATATAAAATGATTAATTATAATGTTATGAAGTATGTGCCGCCTTGTCATAGCATTGGCTCAATGTAGTGCTGTTTAGTAATATCATTTTCTGTTGCTGTATGTGTAATGTTACAAGGGGAAGAAAAAGGAAAGTCAGATTATTAAACACAGTTCTAAATTAATATGTAGGTTGAATTCTTAACTCATTTCAGAAATTATGTTTATTTGAAAGCAAAGGATACATATTTAAATGATGCTGATCTGATTTTTTGGGGTTAATTCACCTTTTAATTATCAGTCTTTTAAATCCCCATATTCCCTGCTGGCCCAATTTTAATCCCACAGTTACACTACACTGTGCATGTTTTTTGATAAAACCGTGTATCTTACTTAAAAAACTCACATACTACAATGAAATGTGGAAGTGAAATGAAGGACCATTGAAGTGCTGACATGTGGTTGGTAAGTAAACTTTAGCCATTTAAAGCCAAAGCTCTTTTCAGTAATAAGTAAAAATTTATTTTTTACCAAACCTCCCATTAAAATGATCAGTTTATTAATGCTGTTTAATTAAATTATCACTGTGTGCATTGAGAATCATATGAAACCCGTAAATACAAAACTACATTTTACTGAATATTAAAGCAGATGGTACGTATAGTTACAAATTGGCTTTAAAGGGTTAATCTATTTCTGTGTGGCCTTAAAACAGCAAGATGTAGAAAGGAAATGCATGAAACACACTATTTTGTGTTTGAGTGTATTACTGATCAGAATTTTGTTATTTTCCAAAAATTAAATAGCTTGCCCAGTGCTTGTGAGATTAAAGCTACTACCTTTTAGATGGTATTTTCACTTTTGTTGATACATAATTTAGCACATTAGTTGTATTCGATCTGCTTTGTAGAAAGATATGCAATACATTTAGAATGTTAGAATCTTGGTTATCCAATACAAATTAAAGAGATAGTGAATGTAATAAAATGAAATAATTCTGATATATTCCTACCTTATTTATAAAATAATACTTAAATAATACAAACAATTAATGTGATCTATTCAGTTTTTAAAATCTTTACATACTCATAATTTCTTATGAGATAAAATATGATAGTTGCTCCATCACTTCATGCTTCATAGTCTGTTGGGGAAATGCATTCATGCTACTCGTACACATTAGCCAGTGTGTAATTTTTAAATTGAGAAAGCAAGCATAATAAAGTGGTCACACACTTTTGTGTGCTGGAACTTTTGATGGCGTACTTATTAAAATAAATAGTGAGGCTGACCATATGGTAAAAAGGTAAATTTTACCAATATATATATATATTTATAGAATATGTAAGTACAAAATTTTGCATGTTGGATAACTGAGTTTCTGATGCACTAGATATTAGATGTTTTGTCTAGAATGTTGCATTTCATAGTTACTGGGAATTGTTATGTACAATGTTATAACAATCCATGCATGTAATTCTGTGCCTGTTTTAAATTTACATCTGTCTGTGAAACTGATATTCAATTTCTATAACATCTCTAAAAATCTTTAATCTTCTGTATTTATATATATTAAATTTCTCAGCCTTTTTTTACCTTCACCTATGTTTTAGCATCAAGTTGAGTTTATTGGGGAAGGCGACTTTGTGTCTAAAATGTTGTCATGTCATAATATTTATGCAGTCTGTGAAAATAGGTTTCTAATTCAATAAATTCTCCTTCATGCCTGAAAACGATGAATGATTTTGGAATAGGAAGTGGAATTCTATATTTTAAATATTTTGAACCCACTTTGAACTATCATGAATAGTACAATTTAAATGTACACTGTAATCCATTGTTCATAGTTCTGCAGAATTATGTAGTTTGAGTTGCCAGAATCTTCTACAGAGCCCAAAAAAATGGGCTTACATTTTTTAAGTTTGTTTTTCCCCCTCATCTGTGGGTCACATCTTTCTGTTTTCTCTTTTATGGAGAATGTAAACTAACACCCTAATGCTAATGGCATCCTCGAGTTTCACTGCCATCAGAGCAAAGTCTCAAAGTTGTGTCATTGAATACAAGCCATGCGTTACTCAGAGTTAACTTAACATTTAGCTGAAGTTAGAGTAGAGAATGTGATTAGTACTGTACAAACATTTATTCAGCAAATTTCATCCCAGGAGCACGCATGTCCACTTTCTTATAACGGTCAATTTCCAACAGATAAGTTAGATGTGCTGTGTGGATATCCCAATGCCATTTTAGCACCATTTAGTTATCAGAAGGTCAGTATAAATATTAGTCATTGTAATTTTGTCAGATTTTGTATTCAGATTGTAATCTAAATAAAAATGTCAGCCATTAAATAAATACATCAATGAAAGTATTCAGTTTACATAAATTTCTGGTAATTATCGAAATGTAATACACAAAAATATGTTTTGGCGTGCTTATAATTTTGTAAAATTGTAAGAAATAAAAATTATTTCTACTTATTAATATTCATCTTTTTTGTCTGTTAACAAATGGTTTCTCTCTCAAAGGAGTTACAAATTTTATTTTTGAATATAGTTCACACGTAGCTTGCTGCAGCAGTAGTAATTGATTTTTTTGCTGACTTCATTTTTTGCTGATTTAAGGCCATAAATGAATTAACATTGTATTTAGATTAGTCATTTTCTTTCATTTGCCCTATCCAAAAATCTGAATGTTCCCATCTTGGGTGACCTCTGATAAACAAAACACAGACACACAATCTTGCACTTCTCATATATTTCCAGAATCACACTATCTATTTCATGTAGTTTCATATTGTCATATTATATACATATAGAATATTGTCTATCTCTCCATGTCTTTATCCCATTTTTGATACGCTTTCAAATATTATGTACGTGATATGTATTTTGATACAAAGGATCTATATATTTATCAGCATGATATTAATTTACTTCTGTCTTCAGAGATGTTCCATATGTGGCTGAAGATGATGGTGTTTTTAAATTACCTTGCAGTAAATCATGTTAAGCTTTGTCAAATGTAAAATAATATTGGGTAATTATAATTTATTTTCCTGTTATATTATTGTTTCTAATTATGCAGAATATGACAAGTCAGATTATATTGTAATGTTTGAAACGTTGGCCTGTATGTCTGCGATTTGACAGTTCCATATTTGTTCTGTTTGCTCTTCACTTGCTGGTGGATTTTCTTGTTTTGAAAAGTAGAGATATTGATTTACGATGTATTTTTTTTATTTGTCATACGCTTGAATATATTAGTAGTAGGATTCTTGCTTCTTGATTTTGTGGTGATATGGAAATGTATTATTATCTCAAATGGCCATTCATTGTCGGTTTGCAGTACTTGTAAATTTGTTCTGTGTTTAAGTTCTAAACACCTGGGATTAGCGTAGCAGTAACATTGCACCTAGTTTGTATCTCAGCAGGCTTCTGGCTGTTTGGACTATATGGTTTTTGTCACTTTTTCCTGGCAAATTTCTCCAAAATTTTTACTTACCATTCATGATCAATCTCATATTCAGCATTGTATGAACTCTGCAGTTGAAAGAGAGTCATTAAATAACCAACGAAACATCATCTCATGTCTTTTAGCCTTGTGTACAATTTTTGAGGTTATTCAGTTTTCTGCAATGTATTTTTGCCCCCAGTTCTCAGTCTTTTTAAAACTCTTCATTACCTTAGGAGGATGTTATTCCTGTGCTTTTGTGGGGGTGTGATTGTAAGATGTTTCACAAGTTTGGTAGACAAAGAAGATGCAATATTTAAAACAGGCATAGAATTTGATGCTGGTTTGTCTGATACTACTGGTTTATGCTACAGTTGCATATGAATTTATAAGCATTTTTATGTTGCTACATATTTGTGTTTGGCTTTGTGTTTTTATGTCTTTCCTGCATTGAAGGTTTAGTTTACTTGTTATAATGCAGTCAGTTCAACAATTAAAAATACGAATATAGTATACTGATTGAATGATTGGTCATACTTTAAATGTAAATGTGTTCTGTGTTTCTCTTAGAAGATGTTGCAGATTTGCCACAGAATTTAATTACCAAGTACAGATGAACCAATGTCTGCCATTAAATTATCTTAAATGTCAGAATATGAACATTAAACTGTTTCATGTATCATGTGAACATAGTGCAGATGCTTTGCCAATTCATATACAGGAAGCTTAATTTGTGATAAACTTTGAGCCAGAGTTCATAGACATATTTAATTTGTAACAGATATTTTTCACGTGTTGTATAACAGATCTATTTAAGACTCACACGCCAAATGCATTTCACATTTAACAGCTCTGTCATACTGATAGTAGTGCAACTGCCTTTGGCATTTATGAAACTTTTCTGTCATGCTTCAAGAATTGCTCTGAATTATCTTATTGGGTACATGGTGGTTACTTGGGATGCTCTCAGAAAAATGAAATATATTTGTCTTCATTACCTACCATCTAAAATTGACTAACAGATTAGGCACAAACTGCCTCAAAAACATCAACAGTCCATGTCAGCTGCATGTGATTTTTACTGTCTCTGGCTCCTGTGTTAGGTCACAGCTTAAGCGTGGCAAAAAACCAGTAGCATATTTTTCTAATTTCTGCTGATTTAACTATTTCTTTCTCTTTGTTTATGTTGCATGGTTTTGTTTCCACACTCAGGCCCACTGCAGTTCTAACGAGACTCGAACAGACACTGCTCCGCAAATAGTTTCACATTTCATCATCGATCAGTTCCAAAGATTTCAACCTATGTCTGTTTATTCAGAATATCAGCCAATATCCATCACTCCTTATATCGAAGATCCAGGTTTGGGCTTTTGGGATCCCTGGGAAAATTACAAGGAACAGTCTAACACCAAGTATAAAAATCATTCTTCACACATACCTTTATGGAATTACCATGGGTCAGAACAACAACATAGAGCATTTGAAAATGACAAAAGACAATCTGGATGGCAGAGACATAAGTATCAGAATCTGGATAATGAACAGAATGTTGTATCTTCAGGTGAAACTTTCCAGACACATTCACATCATTCCACTCAGTCAGCCGATAATAATGATTCATTTCATGATCCTCAACATCATTCTCAGCAAAACCATCAGCAGTCACAACCACATCAGTCATATCAGCACAGCCATCATGAAGCACATCATCATAATGAGCAACTTCATCACCAAGAATTTCACAATCACCCTGAAATACAACACCACTATGAACCACATAAGGAACCTATACATCATCACCAACTACATTATCACCATGAACCACATAATCAGTCTGAACCACACCATCAACCACATTACCAGCATGAACCATATAAGCAGCCTGAACTACATCATCATGAACCACAGCACTACCATGAACACCACGATCACACTCAAACAGAACACCATGGTCGCCTTGAACCTCATCATCAGGAACAGCATCATTGGTACAACCAAGAATCTCCAGCCCATGATGAACACCAACATCTTGATCACCAACATCATAATGAATACCATCAACATCATAGTCACCAACATCACAGTGAACACCATCAATATTATGATCATCAACACCATAGTGAACATCACCATACTGATCACCATCACACTGAACACCATCATAATGATCAACACCATGATCACCACAGCCATAACAAACAACAATCAGTACATGTACATAGTGCACAACACCAAAACCAACTACATTATCAAGAAACATACCACGTATACAATGAGCCACCTCCACCAGGGGAAAGACAGAACCATAAACACGGACATGGGGATCACCAGAACCACCAACCACAACCTGATCCACCTCCCCCTGCTTCCTCTGTTAGCACTACTGTTAATAACAGCAAGTATATTAAAGTAACCAATGAGCCTGAATGTTTAGTAGCTCAGCCAACACTGGAGGACAAATCATCTAAAGCTGCAGAAAATAATGTAAGTAGTAAAAGCATGGTTGTCAAGATATATTGCTCTCCATTAGTATTTGCGTATATGTAATATGTTTATAGGTATTAATTGCACCAGTTATCTGTAATTAAGGAATGTAAGTCTGTAACAATAAGAGCAGGGAATTTTTATTTTTTAAGAGATTTAGTGTGTAAAGTTTTGAAAATGGTCTCCCTTTTTCTGAAAACAATATTACCAGCCATCTGAAAAACTTATTTTCACGCACAGACACACACACACACCACATGAGTTACAAATTGTGAAAGCCGCAGGAGAGGTGGTAAAAGTATAAAAAAAGTTATGGACACTTTTGTTTTAATTCTTACCATATGATAATTATTTACAAGTGCACAACTGATAGTCACCCATTGTCATGTTTGAATTACTAGAAATTTGTCAGTTCTGTATGACAGTGAATCTTCAGAAGAGTAAATTATGTTGAAATGTAGTTAATTATGGGTATCTCAACCAACATTATAATACAAAATAAACATTCCCATTGCTAACAAAAAATTTTTTTTGAAGGAGTAAAGATGCGTGTGTCATTAAATGATCCCATGAAAAATGTGTTGAGAGATTGATACAGTTTATAATTTCTGTCCCGTGGTTTATTAAATCATCATTACCAGGTTCTCCTTCCTCTTTCCAAGATGTTTCCACTTTATATGTGGATCATCTGACAGCAAGCCTCCCGTTTCTACTTTCCTCTTTACCTCAGGATAATGGATGTGCAGAAAGGAAGTTAATAATTATATTAGAGTGGTTGGCAATCCTGCATAATTGGTATGTCCTTGGTTCAAACTTTGGCCATGACTTTGGCTGTAGTGATGAAGTTTGTCACTGGTTTTCCTCAGTCCCTCCAGACAGGTGCCAGGACAGTACCTAAAATTAGGCTGTCACTTCCATATCCTTTCCAATTCATTATCAACCTATCCTCTGATGCCATATTATCTGAATTACTAACAGTGTCCTTAAATAAACCACAAGTAAAGAAATAAATCCCCTTCTGTGACATTTTATGATCCTGTCGGTCATGTCATCTTGATCTCAGTGCTGGGATGTTTTTTTAATTTCATGTTTGAACCTTTTTTGAGGTTACCTCTTCATTCATCATTAAAACATGTCCACACCATCTTATTCTGGTAATTTTATATTTCTGAGTCTGTCTTATTTGGTTATTGCTCCTATACTTTATACTACTGTACTTCCTTTGCACCATATATATTACATAAAGTAACTATTATTTAGAAAAGTATGTATTATATGGTTTAAATTCTCTTCCAGTTATGTGATTTTTATCTGGAAGTGTGTCAATAAAACATGCAATGGCATTGATTACACAGTGGCACGTGACACTTAGAGATTGCAACATAATATTGATCTGTGTGCTGGAAAAGAGAATGAGTCACTCATGACTCATTAGGTTCTTAGAATTGGAATTCATATCTTACTATTTGATTTTAAGTAACTGTTGAAGTTTGTTTTAGCAGTTCATGCGTGAAGTGTTTTGCCATGGAAAACCAAACTTTAACATTAGTGTCAATGTGTTAAAAATTATATGGGGAATATAATTATTTTGTGTTCGCTGAAATGTGTGTTTTTACCTTTTCATTAAAAACCTTATTTTATATTTTTTTATGACAGCTTATAGATTTAATTAATGGCATGCTACAAATGGTTAGGTTGAAATATTGAAACACTGGATGTCATCTTAAAAAGAGTCATTTGCAATGGAAATGACATTTTAAGGTGTGTGTTATAGTTGTTTTGTTTTAGGCAATTAATTTTATCATATGCTGTAGTCAATCTAAATTTACTAGTAGATGATTAAATTTTGTTGCTGTGACATTATTGGTGTGTGTTGAATGAATCATGATCTCTGTTGAATACTTTTGTTTATGTGAGAGTTGATAATGAATATCCCTGCGCTACAATGTGATACCTACTGTTACAGCTGGGCTTGGCTGGTGCTCTAGCTAAAGTAACTCTTGGAGTTCCTCGTTCAGCCGAGCAGGCAGCATTTGAGGAACACATGAGGAAGCAGGCATGGGAGCAAGGCAGTATTGATTACATGGGTCGTGACTCATTTGACAACATCTGGCGCAAGATCACAGAGACACTGGCTCAGGCACCATCTAAACCACAGGCGCAAAAACCTGCCACAGGTGGGAGTCCAGCTGTTTGAAAGCTTCAGTGCTTGTACTACCACTTCTACTACTGTTATTACTTCTACTTCTACTAGTTTTTCTTCTGATGTATCTGGATGCATCCCTATCTTAATATTCTTCTTCTAGATGCTTATTCATTTAATGCTTTACTGTTGTGTTATATGCAGTTATATCTACTGCTTATCAATAGTTCTTACTCTAGTGGCAAACTTTAATGTACAGCCAAACCTTACTTATCCAGGCCTCATTAATCCAGATACCACATAATCTGGTCAGTCCTAGCTTTGCCAGTACTGCATGGTTACGCTAACTCAGTTATTTGTGAACATTTGCATAGTGAAAATCTCCGGTGCTGTCATCATCTCTGGAAGTACAAATTTTGCAGGCGTGTCAGTAAAATATTGTCTGAACCACACGTACAAATTATGGAAAGTGACTCAGAATGAAATGTTTAGTGTTGAAGGTATGGTCTCTTTCTTAGTATGTTATTAGCATTTTTTTATTATAACTTCATTAATCCACGTATCACCAAATTTACACTACTGTTTCCTCCATGTAATCCAGATTAGTGAGGTTTTACTGTACTTTTATGTCAGAAATTAATAAAGACAAGAATTGAATTGTTTAATAAATAGTTTTTGGGATTTGTGCTGGTAGAATGAATTGTCCAAGAATTGGTTAAGATTAAATACAAAAGAGATGTAGAAATACATTTTGGTTACGTTTATCTAAATGCATGTGAAATGTAATATTAATATTAACCAAAGCAGCAGAGAGGACTACAGCTTCAGATTTTATACTCAGTGAAGAGAGAATCCCAAAGAAGGTTTCATAGAATTTGCTTATTTGCTTTGTGTGAACTGCATATGGCTACTACAAACAGAAGAGTTCACAAACTTAACAACAGATGTCAGAAGTATGCAGTGTTACACATTTGCATACATGTTGAAAAGTTTTTAATGGAAGTGTCATAGTATATACTTTAACAGGTCCATCACCTAATGATATAATTTGTTGAACATGTTTGTACTTTAAAATATTTCCATTGAACCTGTTTCTAAGGTTTGTCATAAACCTTTCTGTTCAGAGTATTTGAAAATTTAAATATGTATATACTAGATTTCTCATGAATGTATAGTTAAAATTATTCATTTTTAATTGTGACTGAAATTGTGATAAAAATGCATTTATGAAAACGTGGCAGCATGGAAAGGTACATAATATCTTTTTTAGATGTGGAGCATTTGTTTTTCATAGTTCATCATAATAGAAACATGAAAGATCATTTTCTGTTATGCTGCAATTCTTTGTAGCAAATACGCGTTTTTATTTTCAAAAAAAGGATGACATTTTGACTAATGATGCCTCTATAAAGATTTATGCTGCCAAAATCTAGTTTGTAATTTCTTAGAAGACCTATTTCCATAAAAAGTAATTTTGTTGTAATGAATGTTGGAATATTCTGATTATTAGATAATCCAACTCTCATGAATTTTGAGTTCTTGAAATTACTAATCTGGGTTTGTTTCTTCTACTATTAATTTTCAATTTAAAGTAACTTAACTGTCATTGCCAGCACAATACTTGGTGTTATTTGCTTTAACTTTGCTGTTTTGCAGACTTGTGTACATATATCAGATATATACAAAGTGCTCTTTAACTTTACTTACACATGTGACTGTATTTGTATTTTCTTGCTCACTCTGGATGTTTGTGCACAGGATGGAGTGTATCAAGGTGGGTACCTAGCAGTGAACTGCTGTATCAACTTGCTACAAATTGTAATTATGAAAACAGTTCTTTGTGTTACACATTAAGCTTATTAGTTTTACCTGGAGATTGATACTATGTCTTCCTGTTTTCAAGCAGCTAAAGTGTGGGATAATGTCTTTTATAGCTTTCTTTATTTAGAATTGCTATTGAATATTTGACCCAACGAAAACGTTTAATATTGCAGTAACGAAATACTTGCCTAGCCTAGCCTAACCTAACCTAACATAATCTAACATGCATTCTCTCCCCATCTCATTTCTTAATTTATAATTTGTTTCATTACATTTCAATTTTTGGAAACCATTCTAGAATTTATACTGTTATTAATTCTTAAGATTGAATTAATGAACCACCTTATTTTTAAAACCACCAGCTAAATTACGATGATGTTTTATTATTTTTCCCTTTCAGCAGAGATTCCGCTCACAATACCTGTGCCAGTACCAATACTCCCTGAACCAAAATCCACTACTCTTCCTTTGACAGATGCTGATGATGCACCAGGAATTACAAGTTCTACGACTGACCCAACAGCACCAGCTCTTCAGTCAACACAGCATAGTGAACCACCACTACCAGAACCCTCAGAGCCTGCTGTACCTCCAGTTTCTTTCAAAGGCCCTGTTCTGCCTCCTTCTTCAGGTGAACAAGCTGTTAATGTGGGACAGTCAATTCCACACACCCCATTAATAACTGAAGCCACACCTCCCACATCACCTCCTATAGGTGTACCTGCAGCTGACAGCAAAGCACTTACAGTCGATGTACAACCACTAGAAACACCCCCAGTGGAATCCACAACTTCAAAAATGTTGTCTGAAACACAAATACCTGCCCCAACCACACAAGTTACACAGACCTCAGAATTTCCTGTACAGACAGAGGCAAAATTGATTGAACAGGAAAGTATCCAACTTATTTCTAAAGAATTGGCTGCAGTGGCAGAAATAGAAGCAACTGAACAAAAAGAGGCTCTGTCATCTTCTCAGCAACTAATTCCTACCCATGAAATTCCTACAGCTCCTGTAACAGTGGAAACAAAACTCTCTGATGCTCCATCTCCGTCTCAGCAAATACCCACTGAACAAGAAAGTCCTGTAGCTGCTCCTACCCTGCAGATACTTCCCACGCAAGAGAGTCCTTCAACTCCTGTAGCTCCTCCTATCCCGCAGATACTTCCTGCACAAGAGAGTACTTCAACTCCTGTAGCTTCATCCACTCCCATACAAACTTCAACACAAGAGTTTCCTGTAGCTGCTCCTGCCCTGCAGATACTTCCCACGCAAGAGAGTCCTTCAACTCCTGTAGCTCCGTCCACTCCCATACAAGAGGTTCCTGTAGCTGCCCCTACCCCGCAGATACTTCTCGCGCAAGAGAGTACTTCAACTCCTGTAGCTACATCCACTCCCATACAAACTTCCACACAAGAGGTTCCTGTATCTACTCCTGCCCCGCAGATACTTCCCACGCAAGAGAGTCCTTCAACTCCTGTAGCTCCATCTACTCCCATACAAGAGGTTCCTATAGCTGCTCCTACCCCACAGATACTTTCTACGCAAGAGAGTCCTTCAACTCTTGTAGCTCCATCCACTCCCATACAAACTTCCACACAAGAGAGTCCTTCAACACCTGTAGTTCTGTCCACTACCATACCAGCTCCTACACATGAGGTTCCAGCAGCTCCTATAGTCTACCAGGAACTCCCTCCTACACCACCTGCAAGTCCTGGTACAGTAGAAACAAAACCGGTTGAGACCCCGCCTTCAACTCTGACTCCTGTGTTGCCTGGAAAAACAGAAGCCAAGCCAGTTAAACAAAAGAAATCCCCTCCTGCCCCTGTTGAACACACAAAATCCCCATCTGCACCTCCAACTCAAGAAGGTGTTCAGCAAGGAGTGGCAACTGCTGTTCAACCACCAATCCCATTGCAGGAAGTTCCAATTTCCATGACAACAGATAAAACAAAACCCACCATTGCAGAAACTGTGCCTGTAGCAGAGAAGCAAGGTCCTCAACCATCACTAACTACAGAACAGAAAGTTGATCCTCCCATCCTATTATCTTCTGCACCTTCATCAGATTCTAAGGAACTTCCTAAGATACCTACAGTGGCAAAAGCTGCTTCTGAAGACCCTACTCCAACAGTTCGATCAAAAAAAGAGTTATCATCTGTTCAGGATGTTCCAAAAAGAGCAGCAGAAACAAGATCTTCTGTTGGGCAAAAGGACACCCCTGTTCCTTCACCACAGTCAAAACCTGAAGAACCTTCTAAGTCAGTACCAACAAAGCCATCAGCTCCTGTGTCTCCTCCCTCATCACCAGATGCATCTCCCTCGGATCAAGCTCCAATTCCTCCTAAGAGACGTGGTCACAAGGGGCCAGGAACATCAGCAACTGATCAAGGAGCTGCTGGTAAGCCAGCGTCCCAATCCCAACCAAGCAAAGCTTCTAAACAAGGTCAGAAGGGCAAAAAATAGTAATGATGTCACTTTACTCTTTGCCATTTTATTATGATGTGCCTTTATCTGAATTTAAAAGTGAATTATTTAATGTTCCACTTCTGTGTATTCACTGAGATTACCAAAAAAGGAAAAGCAAATAAATTTTAAAAGTGTATTGCATGTTGACTGAATTATGCATTTTCACAGAATTGAATCAAACAGATATTTGTAGCGCAGCTGTGAATTCTCTTCATTAGGATATACATTCTTAGGATGTTTAGCACACTGTATTATGTAAAAGTGAGTTAATATTTAAATAACAATTTTTCCATGAACCACCATTATAACTTCCAGATTAGGTTAACATTGCATGGTTTGAAAATGTACTGGTCACCAGAATTATGATTTTATTTATTTGCTAAAATGTGTTTACATATGTTACTTCAATTATTAGTTATAAAATCGGAGTTATATTTTGCTAATGATATTGAAATGTATTTTTACTTTTCTGCCAGAGTTGTTTCCTTTCCGATGTTTATTTCAGCTTCCAAGTCCTCTTCAAAGCATTATCAAATCACAATGTTTACTAAGTGCTGATACATGATGTGAGAGTGTTTGTTGTTTATTTTTGCATCCATTAATTAGCCATTTATGTGACTTAAAATGTTTGACTCCTTAAGAAAATTGTGATTACTTTCTCAAAATTTATACACACTTTGTCAAGGGGTTAATAGTCTCTTTATGTAACACACACATCAACTGGTACGTCTTCTTCATCTGTTCATAGTTCATGCATACTGGCAATTCATTCAGATATGAGTAAATACTTATGTTTGTACTGTATGTCTAATGTATGATTTTTTTGTTTATTTTAAGTGTGAAATGTTAACAGTTATGTAGAAAATTAGTGTTACATTTTAGGAAATGGTGCTTGAATTTTGCACAGGAGATAATGCAAAATTATATCAGAGAAATGGAAACTTACTATTTGTAAGCTACTTATATTAACATGTTATACGAAAGTTTATGAAATGTTTGAGTATAAAGCATAATTCCTCTCAATTAATACGAAAGTCCTTTTTTTACCTTTCTTCTTTCATTGGAGCCAAATTTTTGCACTTAACGGTATAATAGGACTGAATTCAATTAGTACTTGTATGAGGAAGTATAATAACCATTTTTTATCAATCTGAACTTGTTACAAGTTTCTCATCTCTTTTTTTATGAGTAGAGGTGGAAGCCGAACTTCCGTCAGTAAGAAATACAGGAGGATGATATGAAAAACTGTTTTTTGCATGAACTTTATTTGGAATGAAAAAAACTTTAAAGTAAACAAGGGCAAAATTTAAGTGAATTGTATAGTTGATTTTCCTGTCTTGGTACTAAAATGTATCTTTCATTAAAAATATTTACTAAACCTTTGGCTAGTGCAGTATGAAGTAAAATACAATGTTTGGGAAAGTTTTGCTTCGCATAGCATATTGTTAATATTTCATGTTTTCTTTACGAGAAGCTTGCCATAACATGATGAAAACATTATAAACAGGTCTTTAATTAATTAGAAGCTTGTTAAGTGGAGACTGTTTTATAGTGTCAGTGTCAGCATTCACATTTGTGTAGAGAGAAGTCGCTGAATAGGTCTGACATTGTCTTTCGTGTCTTGATTTTTGTAACATAAAAGGTAAAAAATTGAGCTCTGTATAGATTGTCTAGTGATCTTTTCTAATTTAATTGAACATGATTTTCTATGCAAACATTAACTGGCTTTGCAGTTGAGAACAGGTAATATGTAACGTCGATGTGAAGGAAGTTATTCTGCTATTTTCTGTCTGTTATTTGAGCTGTTTTTAAAATGAAGTGGATGTTTTTTTAAGAAACCTCTGTATTTAATTCTAATAGTTTATGGAGTATGTCCAACATATGCTACCTTATATTTTTTAGACAATATCTTTGTTGAAATGTAGTTCATGTTATGTGAAAATGAGAACGTGTCATCCATTTTACAGGTGTGCGTATGTACTGTGTTCCTGTTGCATCTAGTCTGTAAAAAGTGCAAGATGTATGTTATCTGGTTTAAGTTTTATATGTACACATTTTGCTGGATTCCTAGTAAAATAACAGTTTAAAATATATCTTTAAAATTTTTAGTTTATTGCTAGATTGGTCTGTACAATTAGCAACATTTGGCTACGTTCTTGAAATTGCTACCTTCTAATGCTATTATAATTTATTTCTGTGCCATGTATTACTAGGCTCACATAATGAAGACGACTGAAGATGTTGAAAGTAAACGTGCCATATTCTAATTTCGGGCTTTATGTGTTTCAAGGTAATAGTAAACAAATCAAAAGGGAACATTATTTACCAAAGTAATATTGTACTGTAAGGGAACCTTTGGGAGCAGTAACCATAATACAACTTTCTGACCATTTTTATGACTTTGTGATAAAAGTATTTGGGAAGATGTGTTATGGTTACATTCCACTACGTGGTTGAAGATTTTGGAGCAGTAATTGTAGCAGCAGATGGAACAGGAGAAATGCAGTATACATGTAGCAAATAGCATTAACTCAGAATTGTTGAACATCACTGAATACTTCCTCTTGTTTAATATGAATTGTCATATACAGGACTGAATGATATGATATATACATCTTGAAAACTTGTTGAACTAAGATTGTGTGTTAATTGAAGGGTGTGATTAATTAACAGTGTATGTATATTGTCAAAATAAATAAGATTTTTAAAGTAAAAGTGGTGTCTGTACATGTGAAATGTTGTAATCACAAATAATCTACAAGTATTGTCATCCAGTGATATTTTCATCTGGGTAAGTTACTCATGACAGTTTTCACTGTCCTTAAGTAAGCAGTCGTCTTACTTCTGTCCATTCTCATGACTCTCTTTTCTGACAGGTCTTCAACTGGGAGACCAAATATTCTGCCTGTAGTTGTTTGTGGTTTTCATGAAGATTGATAAGGCAGAATGGACCGTGAAACATCTGAACATGAGATATTGATAATCTCCAACCAACATTCCCTCAATTGAGTGATAGAGGAAAACCATAAAGTATCTTCGTGAGGGGAGGAATATAAAGTATGCATCTCAGAAATACTGCAACGGTGTACCAGTTTTGTTTAATAATGACGTTTATTATTCAAATTAATTCTAACATAATAAAGCAAAATATACGCAGTATGATTAGTGCTGTGCTTCCCATCTAGCGGCGGTAATGTCGACTATTTGCATTGTGTAACTACTGGTGGTGCCGCTCGTGTCGGAGAACGGAACTCTTCACTGGGACTACATCCCAACCGAGGATCATGTTTGGCTGAGGTTGTGTTGCGGTCCACATTCCAGACTGGTGCTTCGGTCGCCAGTCTGCGGAGTGAGTGTTTAACGTGAGGGAACAAATGTGTTGGATGTCCGGGTTTGGGGAGTTGGGGGTGTTTTGGTTGTTGTGACTTTTCAAGATTTTAATATAAAACACCGGGGAAAGTGTTGGAAACGTTATTTCTGCTGTTGAACATTACTGTAACGAAAACTTGTTAATAATGGCGTTGAATCCGGACTCAGAACAACACAAAGGGAACTTGGTTGTGACAATAGATGAAGACTCCGATTCAGATTTGCAAGCACTTTTCGACAGCGTCTTAAAACCTGATTCAAAGAGACCATTACAAGTTCCGTTACGCATGCGTAAACTGCCTAATTCTTTCTTTAACCCTCCGTCCACTGGTTCTAAATCTCCGTCGGTGTCTTCTATATCTCACAGTCGTGAAAATTCTGCGGATTCAGCTTTCGGGACAGCTTCAGTTGGAGCAGGACCGGGGGGCACAACGACAACGTCAGCAGCTGGCGCCAATGGGTTACAGGTGAACCACCCGCGGGCCCACAGCTCCCCGGCTTCTCTCCAGCAGACGTACGCTTCTGCTCAACAACAGCAGCATGGCCACCTCAAACAGAGGAGCTATGACATCACAACCGTCGACGAACTGGGGCCCTTACCACCCGGTTGGGAGCAAGCCAGGACGCGAGAGGGCCAAGTTTACTACCTCAAGTGAGTGCTTTACGTATCGTTGCCTTGGTTATAGGACTTCCAACACAAAACAGTTAATACTGGAGTAACGAATTTTTATTTTAAGTAGTGTATGGTAATGCTATGTTCATGACAGATAAAGTGGGTTAGTTCAGCCCTCCTGAGTGCACGTGTCTGTCCCAGATGACAGCTTGATGAGTACTCTATACTTACAGGTGCATGTATATCCAGTGGTTGGGGGGGGGGGATATTTCACCAGAATTTTACTTTTGTTAATCCATTACTGGCAGTGGTTTCCCTTATTATTGAAATAATTAATTTCAAGCAATCACAAAGAAAAAAGAAATGTATATTTGTCATCTCGTAAGGATATATTTTATTTTTGGTCAAAGGAGTTCGCTTATGTTTACACACCCATAGTCACATGATACCAAGCTCATAGATCTACTGCTGTTACTTTAACATGATTAGTCATTTATTAGACTTTTGGCTGTCAGTTACCAAATGAAAGATGAAAATATGCACCTATTAAGATTTATAAAGTTTGCTATTGTTTTCATTGCTGCTATTTTCGTACACTGAAACAATTACAGAAAGAAGAGTGTATAATTGAAGGAAATTTTTTTTTGCTTCATGAATATAGCATAAAAACAATACTTGTTTCTTACACAGTAATAATACTAATTTGTGACAGTTATTTACAGTTTACCACAGTATTTACAGCAAAAATTATAAGCACAAGAAATTATTGCCATTGTTACAAGTTTTTATATATATCTGAAATTTTTTGTCTAAGGTAAATTCTGTGATTTAAGAGTGAGATAGGAACTGTTTGATATTTAGTGAGGTTAGTATTTGGTACAAGAGGGTTACATCTGTATTTCGTACTTTTATCGTGGATGAGTTCGAAATTTTTCAGTGTTATCAACTACAAGTGATAATAGCTATAGAAAGAATTTACTGGCTAGCGGAAGAATATTTAACCTCTTAAATAATAATTCCCTACAAGAGGCCCTCCTTACGTGCCTGCCATTGCTTTGGTATTTCAGGAAAGTTTGCCAGAAAGCAGGACCCCACTTCTCGTAAACATGTTCATCATATTGTTGACAACGGAGTGATTTCATGCAATAAAGATTTATTGCTACATCTGTGAAATACTATGGGGGCAGTTTAATTGCAATACTGCGTTTGTAAAAATGGAAACGTAGTCCAACGTTTCAGAGACGCCCATTGTCTCTGAAACTACGATTCCATTTTGGTGCGGATTGTTGCTTGAGATTTTATTGCATTTATTCATCACGAAAGTCCCAAGTGTTAATTATTCTTTAATCCATTACTCATCTTGGTAGTAAATAACTTAACCTTTGATATATTAATCATGTTTACGTTTCATTTGGTGTTAAAAATAAGGTTTTGTAAAGAAGCAGAAATGTCTTGTGAGAAGATTCAGGTTGAAAGTCTTTATATTTTTATTAGGCAAATAAGAGTTGTGTTTATTTGTGAATTGCTTGAAGAAATTCTGATTTTTTTTTGTTTCAAACATTATCGGCCTCAACAGTTGATTTATGCAGTACAGCATAGTGAGGAAAGTGAACTATGTTTTTGTCGGAATCCAGAATCGGCGTATGGCGATTGTTTAACCATCGCTATTCCTAGTATTAATTAATGTAAGTTTCTTCACAATAATATGTGTTTGCATGGAAGAGGTAGAATATCCAGTATCATACTCAGACTTCTGAATACGTGAATTTCTAGACGTTGCGTCAGCCATGATTCTAACAGTTCTATTTTGCGAAGTAAATGTACTTTTACTGTTGGACTAATTACTTCCAAAATGATTCTGTAGTTCATTATGAATTGAAAATAGGCAAAACCAGTTGAGTTGAGAGTGTAATTTTTTGTAGAGACTGAGTAGGCTTGGTAGAGGCGGTGCATTTGCACAGGTGCTAGCAGAATCTTGTTTGTTTGTTTGTTTGTTTGTTTGTGTACTCTTCTCTAAGTCCGGGACATAATGGTCGACCCGGTAATGGGAGAAATCGTTTTGTGCTACAAGTGACGTGTCATTTGGAATGTGACCATTTATTAGAACTCCATTGCATAAACCGGGAAAGAGGAATGCAACTATTGCAGGATCTTGACATATTTATATTTTTGTGGAACGCGTGAAACATTGTGGAGCGTTTTAGGGAGTAGAAAATGATAACATGGGAGCATGGCAAAGTTTTTCTTTGATGTGTTGATTGACGATTCGTTTATTGTGAACGTGTGAAGTTGACATTAACCCCCTGCAAGTTTTAATGTTTCCAGACAATAAAACGTAAGACGCCAAATAGAAGCGTTGTCATTCGAGTCAAGTTTTACTTCTTATCGGTCTTTTAGCTGAAGCCCAAATTGGACTTTTAGAGTTTCTCGAAGAGACTTTTTCGCACTAAACACGTATGCATATTGAACTGTTTATTTTAAATAAAGAAAAGAAATACAGTGGGGAAAAAATAATTTGGCAGCAGTGTTGTGTCTGTAGTTGTCTTCGCAATATGAATGTTTCGGTGAACAGCAGATAAGAGCATACAGGCCAACTAGGTATGCAGAATGGTAAATTGCGGGAAACGTGACACTCCAGGCTGGAGTACATCATCCCGTTGTTTACGACCTTTGACATTCATATGAAAGAATCTGAATTACGTAAATAAGGTCTGATGTTTCCTACTTGAACGTGCTTGAAACACAAACTTACAAGTGACGTCACGTCACTAGTCTGTCACGTGACGTTTTTAAACCGGCAAGGACTGTACTTTGCGACTCTATACGACGTAGTCGTCATTGAATTGCCACCGACGTTACCATACGTGGTGTGTCTTATCACGCATGTCATTATCTCCTCGCAGCTTTGCATATGTTTTTTTTTTCTTTGGAGATAATTAAGGGGAATACCGTGAAGTTCGTACACTTGGAAGCTGATCGTCATCCTACCCGACCCTTTCTGACCTCTGGAACTGCATTATTACATAACCCGAGAGTGAGTCATTCTCGTAATCTAATAGGCAATAAACTACTGGAGTTATTTATATTATGTTGGGAAAATCAACTCCAGTCACCAGCTCTAATTAAACTGTGATAGTTTTAATTTATCCCCGCCGAAAATTATCTTGGGACCTGCGGAGTAAAGATGCAGTTTCAAGTGAAGTGTAAGGCCATGGCTAACGAAAGGGCTGTACATTGTCCATTGTTTTCGTCTAGGATGTCCTCTATCGCCTCGTGAGATTTGAAAGCAGTCCAGGCCTATGGCTTGATCTATCTTCGCAGAAAAGGTGCGCCTTGTCTGTTTTACTTCTCAGAAAGGCTATCGTTCGAAATGAAATGTTGAGACTCGTTGGTTCGTGTACGATTTAAAATCGACAGGGTACAGTTTTTTTTGTACCCCGTAACATGAACGTGCACAATAGTAACTGAATCAGAGGTGTTCACAGCGGCGTAAGCTCAGATTGTCTGCCTCTTTGTTGTCTTGTGCGCGTTTCAGAGTTTTCGAGGAGAACGCTCTGATGGTACGATATTGTTCATGGCTGTTCCTGGTTGAATAGGACGTAGGCTGCCGACCTACCACTCACCTCGTAACGGATAACGAAACGGCAGTCTGATTTTTCGTATAACTCCCCTAGTTCCTGTGGTGGAAGATTGTGCACTGCACAGGTTACCGAGGTGGCAAGGTGGCATCCACATCCCCAGGTCAGTCGTCAAGGTCATCTGCCAGCTTGTAGTCAGGTGCAGACGGGTCAGACTGCCGTTCCCTTGAATGACTGCATGGATCAATGCTTTTTATGGAGATCGTCGTATGACCGGTGTGACGATGACTTCGTGAGGTCGAATTTTCCGGAACTGGTCCGGTTTATTTCTGTCCGTTATGTTCTCTAGTATTACAGTTATTGTTAAATATGTGTCATAATGATAATCTCATGATGAAACAGTGTCGCCAACTAACTCACTATTAGAGATTTGAGAGGTTCTCACGGCGAAGATGTCGATGTTGGTATTCTGACTTGTAATGGCGTGTGAACTTGAAGGTAGACATCGACGTTTCGGTGAAACATAGCCTCTGTCTTAAACCCTGAAAAAAGAGACTGTATGCTTCTCCGAAATGTTGGTATCTACCTGCAAGTCCACACGGCGTCACAACCCAGAAGTTGAAATCTCCAACTTTCCATTGGTCTTCGAGTGGTTACTTTGCTTTAGGTTTTTGGGCTGGGATGTTGTAGTCGTGTCTCGTGCGTCTCATTCTTTCTACATGTCCCGCTTACCTCATTCGCCCTTGACTTAATTACCATAGTAATATTTGGTGAATGGTGCTGCACATTGTGGAGTTTCATAATATACCATTTTCTCCAGCTTCCTGTCGATGTTTTTGGTACAGATAGTATTGATCTCAGCACCTCGTTGCCGGTTGTGAGGTTCCCTTGGCGTGAGAGGTCAAGTCCAAAAGAAGAGTGACATTTTTTTTCATTTCACGATTTTTGGTAGCAGACGGGAAGACAAAAATGTTCCGAATTTAATATGCCCTCAATTTGTTAGTGAATGCAGTTTTAACTCATTAGTCGTTCCGAAATATATGAATTTCGCCACATTTTCAAATGATTTGTCTGCTTTGTCAAGAATTTGCCCTTCACTCTGGTAACTAGGCGTGGGCTTTTACGGTACTTTGGTTTCCTTTTTGTTTACAGGCCAAACCTCACAGCCTTCTAGGTGTTATCTGCTTGTACGTGGAGAATATAAACTTGTGTACATGCCGTTAAGTCCAAGTTAAGCCTTGTACGTAGGAGGAAAATTTGTCTTTGACGCAGGTGTACTTAATTTTCTTTATTTCGAAAGTTTTTTCTTGTTTTCATTAATTTATTAGCCTTGTTTCTTGGAAGATGTGGCCTCTCGTAGCTTTGTTTGAGGAGGGGAGACAAGGGGATTGTCACGTGCCTAGATAAACAGTCTCCATTCAGAATTCTTATCTCTGATAAGATTGGCGACACGATGACATT